GAAACGTTATAAATTATAAGTACTCTAAAACTTTAACTTATACACATTTTAAAATAACTTGAAACAAAATCATTTCACTCGCCAACGGCTTTCCTCAAATTCAGGTAATTTTCTCAAAATCTCTCGTATTAAAACCACATTTATTAATTCGCTCCTAACCCTCCAGTTGTTGATACTACTGAACCTACGCTGCCTCTTTACTCACGTGACTACTTCAATATTAATGGTTATATATATAATTGTATATGTTGGACTATCAATAAAGATAGAATATGAACAACATATTATACAGTTGTAGATTCATGTTACACGTGAACAACATATCATACAGTTGAAGATTCACGTCACACGTGAACAACATATCACACAGTTGTAGATTCACGTTACACGTGAACAACATATCATACAGTTGTAGATTCACGTTACACGTGAACAACATATCATACAGTTGTAGATTCACGTTACACGTGAACAACATATCATACAGTTGTAGATTCACGTTACACGTGAACAACATATCATACAGTTGTAGATTCACGTTACACTTAAACAACATATCATACAGTTGTAGAATCACGTTACACGTGAACAACATATCATACAGTTGTAGATTCACGTTACACGTGAACAACATATGATACAGTTGAAGATTCACTTTACACGTGAACAACATATCATACAGTTGTAGATTCACGTTACACATAAACAACATATCATACAGTTGAAGATTCACTTTACACGTGAACAACATATCACACAGTTGTAGATTCACGTTACCCGTGAACAACATATCATACAGTTGTAGATTCACGTTACACGTGAACAACATATTATACAGTTGAAGATTCACGTTACACGTGAACAACATATTATACAGTTGAAGATTCAGGTTACACGTGAACAACATATCATACAGTTGTAGATTCACGTTACCCGTGAACAAAATATCATACAGTTGTAGATTCACGTTACCCGTGAACAACATAGATAGATATCAAACAGTAAACCACGGTATCAACTCTCAACACAGAATACCGGGAGTTAGCCACTGTATCAACTCTCAACACAGAATACCGGCAGTTAGCCACTGTATCAACCCTCAACACAGAATACTATCAGTTAGCCACCGTATCAACTCTCAACACAGAATACCGGGAGTTAGTCACCGTATCAACTCTCAACACAGAATACCAGCAGTTAGCCACTGTATCAACCCTCAACACGGAATACTATCAGTTAGCCACTGTATCAACTCTCAACACAGAATACCGGCAGTTAGCCACTGTATCAACTCTCAACACAGAATACCAGCAGTTAGCAACCGTATCAACCCTCAACACAGAATACTATCAGTTAGCCACTGTATCAACTCTCAACACAGAATACCGGCAGTTAGCCACCGTAGCAACTCTCAAAACAGAATACCTGCAGTTAGCCACTGTATCAACTCTCAACACAGAATACCGGCAGTTAGCCATTGTATCAACCCTCAACACAGAATACCGGCAGTTAGTCATTGTATCAACTCTCAACACAGAATACCAGCAGTTAGCCACTGTATCAACTCTCAACACAGAATACCAGCAGTTAGTCACCGTAGCAACTCTCAACACAGTAATAACAAATATTAATGATGTTATAAAAGAATAAACTTCTATAGATTGAACTGTTTCATTATCTTATTAACGACAGCCGCGTCCGTTGTTATTTGTTCATATTTTTATGTATACTGTAAATACTCATCAAAAGGAAATAAATGTAAGGTTTTTAATATATCCAAACCTTTGAAAGGCATTATTATGGTTTCCTCACATTGCATATTTAAAGTGGCAGTAATCTATATGTTATCTTAGTGATATCATCTCATCTCACTATAGGTGCCGCCACATATGTGACATTAACAACATGTGTTTTGAAATTACCTTTTAATTCATAAATTAGTTTCACTAGTAGTACAAATAAATTATTTAAAAAGGAACGTAGATCTAAGCCCTTGGAAGATCCCTTTTGACATTACTTACTTTGAATTAGGTTTCTCAGTCATACAAGGAAATTATTTACAAATAATTCCAGGTCTAAGAGTTGGTGGGCCTCTGTTGATACAATTTGTTTTGAATGAGCTTTATTACATGCACATAGTCTACCTTAAGCATAAATACAGCTTTTAATTAACTGAAAGTGAGTAGAACACATTATCACTAGAATATTCTTCACATTTTAAAAAGAAATACTCGTTATTGTACCTTAACATATACTTATAAAGGATTTTTTTTAATATAAAATAGTTAGCACAAATGATCACATATAAAGTCTAATAGATATTAAAATAAGACCCAAAACTCGAACGCTTTCGTATAGTTGACTATTCGAAAGTGCTCAAGTTTTGGGTCTTATTTTAAGTCTACTTATAAAGGATGATACTTAACTGTGCTAAGCATACTTAGGTGTGTTAACGTAGGATGCTTGATTGTGATAGCGTATGATACGTGACTGTGTTAACATATGGTATTTAAGCATAATAAACGGAAATAAATTGTTATTTCTTTTAGAGATAAGAAAACGTTTTTATTAAGTAATTAAAGAGTGACTTGGCACTTGAAACTTTGCTATTAAACTTGCTCTGTTGTCTTTAAAGGCTGGTTTCTCTGATGCACTAACAATCAAAGTGGTTGTACTTAAATCCGAAGACAATTACACTCCATGGGAACAAACCAAGTTCTGAGCAAGTACTAACTTTGCTTAGAACTATATTTAATTCCATGTCTATCAGGACATACTAAAACGCTATGTAACCACGTTATGTGACTATTCTTATTTACAGAAAAGGAAACCAAGGTTTCCAGTGTCTCTATTTCAATACGATAGGTAGACATTAAAAACTAATCAACAACTTATTGACATTGCTAGTCACATACAAAGCCCTACTTGAATCAGTCTTCTCGATCATTTATACCAGTTCTCCTTAATGGCAAGATGATTGTAGTACATAGTTGTTGGTCTAGAACGTCTAACTAAGTGCCAGATTACTGTACTTAAATTAAAATAAACACTCTAATAAAGATGCATTAAATTCCAAAATTACGAAAAGTTTACAACTATGATACTTGCGTGTCACATAATTATTGAATTGTCCATATATCTATGTGTCTATAAAACAATATAAGATTTCTCTCAAAATTCTTTATTGCGTTTCTTACTTCCTCTTCTGTAAAATTTAGTTAACCTTTATGATTATTTTCCTATTTCTATCCAGCTGAATTTGAGGACGAGTTATTGTCAAAACTGACAAGAAGATCTAATTTCTATTCGTAAAAACAATGAAATATGCAACCCTAACTTTATTGTTAAAGATTATTTTAAAATAATATCAAAAATAATGTTATCTATAACCCAGATGAGAACACTTTAACGTGAGAAAAGACGCGAGGCAATGGTGTCCGGAAATATTAGTTGAAATAATTACACAAGTATATAAAATTAAACTAAAAATCTGTTTTTTTTTTTTTTTTTTTTT